CCCCCCCCCCCCCCCCCCGGACCCCCCCAACACCCCCACCCCCCCCCCTCCCCCGCCCCCGCCCCTTGCCTTGTCGGTCAGAACATACCTGCACGCGTGCTGCATGAACTCATTTTTCATTTCGCCATTAAGCAGTCGCCTGCAGTCACAGGAAACGCTGGCTGCAGTGTTTCAAGCCAAGGGGCCAAGTCGGCCGAGTCTGTAACAGTATGGTATGGGAACAGTATGTCACAGTGTATGTGTGCGTTTGTTTCAGTGTGAGGACCAGGATAAGCACAACTCACAAGCAGCAAGCTAGCAGTTTTCAGATCATTGCCAACGTTGCATATCTACAGTATCCGGAACTCAGAACGGCCTGGGCCTTCGGCAAAGCCATGTCAGTCTTGCAGCGTGGCAAATCGAAAGCGGACTTTACTGCAGAGCTGTTGCAGGGAAGACAGCTGAAGCGTGTGAAGTCGGAGGGAGCCGCTTCCGAGCTTTCCCATCCCCCGGAGTCAGTTCAGTCAGTGCCTCTAGAAGAGCAGGCGTCGGAGGCTGAGTCGCTACCAGTCTCGCAAGGCGAGCAGGGGGATGCCGACTCCCAGAATGGGCAGAGCTCGGACGATGCAGACGAGGCTCAGATGGATCGAGTGCCAGCCTTTCAACCGGCGTTGAATCCGGATTCTCCGCCCTACAGACAGGGCAGCGGAAGCTTTTTCGAAACAGGCTTGCAGCAGATTGGCAACTGGGTTCGGGAGGCCTTGGACCGTCTCGGAGATGGTGAACGAGCGGACCTGGCCTTCATGCTCAGCAAGGACAGCAATGCAGCACGCCACGTGGCAACCGCTTGTTCCGGATGTGATGGAGCCATTCCGATCGCCAAGATGTTGCTGCAGACAGTCAGCGAAACTCTTGGGGGAGAGTGCTCCATGGAGCATGTGTTCTCATGCGAGCAAGACAGTCGGAAGCAGATGTTCTTGTTGAAGATGTTCAGAAACACATGGAATGATGCCGACATGAGAGCATTGTTTGAAGACACAGAGGTCTTGCGCCAAGGCCCGGGTGCACAAGCTCACGATCAAGTTTCTGGCAGCTCAGCCACCGTTCCAATGTGCACAGATCTTTTCATGGGATTCCCATGCCAGGACATCTCCAAGCTTAACCGCAATGCAGCGGAAAATGCAGATGTGATCCGCAATCGCGGTTTGCGGACCGGCCGTGTCTTCGATGATGTTGTGGCATATGTGCAGCAGACCTTGAATGTGCAAGCCTCGGATGTTGAAGGCCTCGACCTTCCGGAGAATTCCTTGACTGACCCCGACTCCTTTCGTGGCCTGGTGCTCGAAAACGTGCCCGGGCTGTTGGAAGGCCCGCGAGGCGTGAACCCGGCTACCGGAGATCCATGGTGCTCGAACTGGGATTACTGCAATGAAAAGTTGCAGCGGGCTGGCCTCTTCAGTGCGCCTTTCTTGCTGGAGCCCTGGCTTTTCGGAGTGCCTGTGGTGCGGAAGCGAGTCTACATCATATGTCTCCCCAAGAAGATGGCATCCGAGGCGGGTGTTACTGAAGAAGCTGCCAGGGAGTTTGCGTGCAAGGTCATGCAGAAGCTCTGTTGCAGCGGTGCTCCGGGGACTATGCGGTGCTTGGATGACTTCTTGTTGCAGGAAGATTCAGACTTTGTCAAGGAGGAGCTGGACAGAGCCCGCCAGCTGGAAGCCAAAAGGCGTGAATCGGAGTTGAGAGCAGCGGCTTCAAGCAAGAAAGGGAAGCAACTAAAGTGGCCAGAACAGCATGCCGCTGCACTGGCTGCTCGGGGCTTGGACTGGTGGGAGCACTCCAGACCGCCTCCGGAGGTGCTGACCAGGTTTCCGGGCCTCCTGGCCCTGACAGAGCGGCAATTTGACCTTTGCCGTGTGCAGGGCATCTCGTTTCCTGATACACGGCACTCGGCCGTACAGTTGAGCCAGAGCCTGCGCGGGCATCGGCGCATCCTTCCGAACAGAAGCGACATTGTCCTACCCCTCGGCGAGCTGCTCTTGACGCACAGATGCAGACTTGCCACTGGAGCCGAAAGTTTGAGCCTGCAGGGGATTCACTTTGGCAGGCAGCAGCACAGGCTGATGGATGTGGAGCCGGATCTCCTGCAATCGCTCGCAGGAAACTCTTTTCATGGCTATGTCTTTGCAGCGGTGCTGCTTACAAAGCTTGTTCTCGAAGCGCACTTGGTGGCCGAGAAAGCAGTGCTGACAAACAGGCGTCTCAGCAGTAAGCGTCCAGGGCGGAAGTCTACCTTGGACGACTTGTTCAGCTTTCCATCGAACGAGAACATGCAGACGGCCGATGGGGATGATGATGTTGCCTTGGCCTCGGCCTCCAAAAACGAGCCGGGTGACTGAGTAGCAGCTGTAGCACAACGGCCTAGGCCTAGGCCCTAGGCCCCTAGGCCTAGGCCCTAGACTCCCTAGCCCTAGACTCTATCTAGACTATATATTACTATGACTATTACTATATGTACTATAGATAGACAAAAGAATAGACTCTAGACTCGAGACTCAACACCCCAGAGGAAAAGGGCAAGACTCAGAGGTCCATAAGTCCGTAGTCGGTCCATAGTCCATAGGCAAATAATACCGGAGTGGGGCATAGTGTGGTTGCCACTTGAGTTGCGCTGGCTGCAAGGCCTACAGTTAGTTCAATGAGTTATGTAAACAAGCAACGGTCCGGTACTGGTAGGGTCTAGAGAGACATAGTCTAGAGTCTAAAGTTTCTAAAGTCTAAAGTCTAGACTAGAGTCTAGTCTAGAGTCTAGAGTTCTAGTCTCGTCCGGAGTGTCCGGGTTTAGGCCAGGGCCGAGGCTCTAGACAATGTCGATGTGCAGTTTTGAAGCTTCTGTAGCGAGAGACCGCCAGACTTTGTCAGGCATGGAAAATGTGGACAATTCGTTTTTGGTTGCGATCTGCCAGATGACTGATGCGGTACTTCTACGATTCCATGCAATCAGTTGCAATCATCATATGTCATAGCAACAGCGCGAACCATGACCTGCTGTTTGCACAATCTCGCACTTTAGTTCGGATCGGGTGATCCGCGTGATGTTCCGTGCCTGGTCAGGTGGACGAGTGTGCTGGGCGCAAAGTGCAAAGCGCTCGGCCCTTGGAGTGAGTGCCCAGACAGCGACCTTGGTGACCTTGGTGTTGTCTAGTTGTGTTCAAGTCGAGTGCTGAGTGCATTTTCAATAACTTCAGAACGCAGATGTTGCAGATGCACTGTGTCATTGTCCGTTGTGCCAGTGTGCATGACGTGGCCAGGGAGGCTTTTTGATCAGGGTGGCTTAGGGTCGACGAGCCTGTTATGGCTTCCAAGGCCGGAAGTGATCCGTTGAGTGTGGCCGGCCCAGACAGCGACGTCTGGGGGCACGCTTCCTTTAAAGGATGCAAGTTCTGCCGGAGAAGCAGGAATTTTCCGAATCCATTGTTGGCCCTGTTCCCCAACAAGCCCTGTTTGGGCTTCCGATCAGAGAGGCATTCAGAGTGTTTGACCTGTACCTGTGTCAATCGGCGGGAGGGCAACATTGAGAGCGCGACGGACAAGAATGCACATGCCAAGAAGTTGGCGGAGGACCGCAAGAGCTATGACAGGCACATGGAGCTCGTGGAGGCTCACGAGAAGCAAGCTTTGGAGGCGGGCGCGAAGAAGAGGAAGATCGGCTCTCACGTGTCCGAAGGGGATCTTCGTGACACGCAGGTGGGGCACAGAATATCATCCCGTGCGCGAGACAAGTTTAAAGGCAGAAAGTTTTTTTTGTTTTGTTTGCATGGGTTTTTGCTTTGTGTGCTGGTGAAGGTGACAGTGAACTCGACTGCGGGGCTGGAGCTTCGCACCTGCCTGGGCATTCTCTGGCCTCAGGAGATCTACGAGCGTAAGCATGGAGTCAAGCTCCAGGACAAGGACCTCACGTGCATCAATCAAGCCGGGCAGGTGCGGCCTTGACTTGAGGTTTCAGGGGCTGTAGTTATGACAGTTATGAGCTATGAGTATGCCGATGACTCCGGTGACGATGCCGTTTACTATATGATATCTTTACTATCTGATATCTTTTATTTTAAGGCCTTTAACAACTTGAAGTTCTGTGTTTGCGTTGGTTTGAGAAATGAATGCTGAATGAGTCTATGGAGTCTTCGAGTCTTTGGTCTTTTTGGCTTATTGGTGTACAGCAACACACGGCCGTGTGACTTGACTTTAATTGTATGGCCCATATATGATGGCTACATTACTCGAGGCATTTCTGAGCTTGCTCGCTCCGTGGGTGGTTGGTGAATGTTCGAATGCGCAAGAGCGAGCAAATATGACACTTCAGGCGTGTGTGCCTGTTTCGTTAGATGGCTGCTTTCCGTAGAATGTTAGATTTGTTAGATGTTGTCAAAGGACAATGACAATGATTTAACTTTACAGGCTGCTGAGCTGCATCATTTTGTTTGGGTAGTATGACTGTCTGTTGTTGTTGTTGTTGTTGCTGCTGCTAGTATCATTGAATTGAATCATTATCATTCAATCATCATTATCGCTAGTCAATCATTGTGGTTATTATTATTGTCGGACTGTTATTGTCGTGTTTATTGCTATTCTGCTATTGTATGCTAACCTTACTTATCACTTATCTCGAGCACGATGCTTGAAGACAAGCTATCGCAAGAGCAAGCATGCAATACACAGTACCCACGGCTGTCACTTCGAAGTCGCAGGTGCTCAAGGGCGTGTTGAGACCCAAGTCCGACGGCATGGAGCAAGGATGCACTGAGATCTTCGACGTCAGGCAGAGTTTCGCAGCCAAGGCTGTGACAGAAGCAGACTCTGCCACTGCCATTTCGGAGAAGGAGGTCGATGTTGCTTGGGCCCGCGCGCACGGCAGGCACAGTTTGGGTGTGACGACGCCTGAGGATGCAGAGGGGAACATGGGACCTCCATCGTTGTCGATGAAGCAGGGTGTGAAGCGCCCGGCCCCAGATGACTTCGACGATCTGATGGCCTTCGACAGCGACTTCTTTTCAGTTTCAGGTTGGGCTGTGCAGTGGGTTTGGCCTGGCTGATGACTAACGGTAGTACTCGATATAACCTGGAGTAGTTTGAACTTGTCGGTCTTGGCGTGGTCTTCTTAAGAGTCTGGAGTGTGTGTCTCTCTATGTGTCACAATTTCAGTCGCAACACTGTGCTACACTTGTGTTATCCAGTTTGAGTTGTATTTTTTGCAACCTCTGCTTCAGACAGGGCCTGGCGAGCCTGGCGCTGGCAAAGGAGGCAAGGGCGGCAGGGGCAAGGGTAGAGGGAAAGGCAGGGGTGGCGCCGGCGGCAGGGGTGGTGGCAATGGCAAAGGCGGCGGCAAGAACACCGAGCTGCCCTCCCCTCAGGGTGCCAGCAAAGCCACGAGAGAAGTGCAGGCAACAGATCGTATTCTCCTGGAGTGCCAACAAGCCGTACACAACATCCAGGAAGGCATGTCGGTCAAGACCAAGCACATCACGAGCCTGGGCGAAAAGGTCAAATCCCGTCTTTCCCCTGCGTTGGTGGCCCTCTACACCATCGGCTACGACCCATCAAGCGATGCTGCCCCCACCGAAGGCTTCCTCGCGCTTGAGAAGCTGCGGACCTACGAGCAGGTCATGCTCAAGATTGAGCCGTTCGTCAAGGGCTTGAACAACGAGGACACCCGCGGGCAGGAGGTGTGGGCTGCGGCGAAAGCCGCCACCTGCAAGGATTTCACACCCCCTAAGAATCTGGCTGAGCTTGTGCTTCAGCGTGAGGTTGATCGGGCAGCAAAGGCCAAAGACTTCGACACCATCAAGTCCTTGCTTCAGTGCAGTTCCGTCGCGGAAGGGAGCACTGAGCACAACTTCGATACGGCTTTGATCGAGGACGGAGAGAAGAGGGTTGCCTTCCGGGAGCGGGAGATCACAAGGTTGGCCGCAGAGCTCATGCGGCAGGACAACCAGGTGGATGCAGTGGCGGATCTTATCAAGTCCGTTGTGGAATCGTCCCTCTTGCCGGAGGACAGCCAGATCATGCAGGAGTTCAGGCAGGTTATTCCGCTCTTCAAGCCTTTGGATCTGGACACTCCCGTTGACCACCTCCAGTTCTTGATTACGAAGTTCAGAACGGAGCGTTCGCTGAAGCTCCACAAGGTGCTCAACTTCTTCACGACAGGGCTAAAGATCTTGGATGGTGCGGCTGCAGGATTGGCGAGCCGCTCCAAGGACACGGACCTCAAGAGGCGCTTGGATGACTTGCGTCGAAAGGCTGCGCTTCTTCCTGTGCCAAGTGCTATTGAATGCGAGGATTACAAGACCTTGAGGGGAAAAGCCGAGCACTTCCAATGCATCTTCGAGACATTGACCGAGATCAAGACCTCCGGCTCCGTGGACTTCATCCGCCGCGAGACTGACGCGCTGAAGGACGTCGAGGACAAGATGGAGGCAGGCTTTTTACATCCAAGCCGGTCCAAACCCAAGATGAACAGCTCCAGTATTTGCGTTTTCATGTTATCCTAAAGAATTACCGCTAAATTCGCTAAATCGTAGGACAGCCCCCATTAACATCAATAAAACACGCCAGCGGGCAGCCCATCTCATGCAGTTATCTTTGTGTTCTCAGCCAAACCCAAGATGAACAGCTTCAGTATTTGAGCTTTCATGTTTCCTTACAGAACTACCGCTAAATCGTAGGACAGTCCCACTAAAATCACTAACGGCAACGGACAATGGACTAACAGACTACATCCAGTTATGAGTTATGATGGTTTCAATGGTTTTATGTCCAAACCCAAGATGAACAGCTTGAGTATTTGCGTTTTCAAGTTTCTCTACAGAACTAGTCTAGTCTAGTAGTAGGCTGTAGACTAGTATATAGTAGACTACAGCCAAGTCCCAGAAAGATCACTACGGGCTACGGAGAGCCCGCTACATCCGGTGAAGTCCAGTTATCTCTGTTTTTACGTCCAAGCCCAAGATGAACAGCTTGAGTATTTGAGCGTTCTCCGAAAGTACTACCCCTAAATCGTAGGACAGCCCCATGGAATTTGCAGGACAATTCCCCTGCCGAAACGGTTGTGTATCAGGCTTGGTCAGACCAGTTTCATAATTTGTTCCTTTCGACCATCCAACTATTCATTCCCGCAGTGTCACAGAGGGCCCTTCCTTTTTAATATTAACCGCCTCCCGCCTCCCTTCATGGTCAATAACTCATAGTCATAGGCGGTACGTTTCAGAAATTCAGAATATTTCCACCGCCCCAGCCACATTCAGGCCTTCGCCAAGTACAGCCTCGATGTGATGAAGCTCAAGGGGGAAACTGATGTCGAAAGAGCCTTGAAGGAGTTCTGTGACACGTGTGATGAGTCTGATGTCACAAGTGGGGGCGTCGCAGACTTTCAGGGGGCCTGCGCAACTTCCATTGAAGACCTTGACAGCTTCGGCTTGGACTTTTGGGAGGGCCTCGTTGGCAAGGAAGATGCTCAGTCAAAGTTCTTCGGCGATGTCGAGAAGTTTTCCAACCTGCTCAAGATCCTCAGCTCATCATTGCCAAAGCTCTTGGTCGACCAAGTCGACGATTGGGAGGAGTTGTCAGCTCTTGTGGAGCTCGTGGCGGTACCGAAACCCATTGTGACCAAGTGGGCCGGTTGGGCTGCTGCGCAGCCGAAGCTCGAAACGAAGTTGACAATGCTGTTCGAGAAGACCGTGGTTGCAGCTTTCCAGCCCCTCGTGAAAGCCACGCCGACCGCAGCAAATGTGCTGAAGTTCCTCGTTTCCCGGGAGCAAGACACAGCTGCTTTGGACAGCAGTTCAACGATCATGCTGCCTGAAGTCAAGCAGATGCTGCTCGATGCGGAGAAGACCTCCGGTGCCCTGATGACGGCTTTGGCATCCTGGCGCTGCAAAGCCTTCGGCAGCATTGCTGCTACGCTCCTGGACGAAGCAGAAGCTCCGGGCCTTTCTCTTTGGATCATGGCGTGCTTTCCCAAGGTGTGTGGACTGGCCCTGCAGTTGAAGGACCTAGTCCACAAGTCTTCCTCGGACGACACGGGCCTGATTCCGGAAGTGGCAACCTTCGGAGAAGCTCTCGCAATCGCGACCCTTGTATGCAACTTCAAAGGTCATATTTCGGCACTGCCCTCTTGCACGGTGACAATGATAATGATAATGGATTCGTCGATGGTCAAGTCAAATTCGCTTGTTAGCCCTTGGTGAATCCCCAAACATAACAAAGCCAGCCTGAAGCCTTCAAGCTGAAATATTTCAGGAAGACGAAGAGTGATGAGTTCCGCTCATTCATGCAGACGTTGGAGCTCCCGAACGAGGATGCTGATGGTGCGAAGGTTATGTTAGCCCAGAAGATTTCGCAGTGGGCAGACGGCTTGCTCAAAGAGTTGGTCAGCCGAGTCATTGAGCAGGCCAAGCAGAAGTTCAGCGCCACCGAGGAGGAGGTGCAAAAGGTCCTTGACCACGACGGCATGAAATCGGTTGATTCGGAGCTGGAACGTGGCTGGGGCCCCGACGTCCAGCAAAAGCTCTTGGAGATTTCATCCTCCACGGAGTCCAAGCGGCTTCATGCGCTCGTCAAGGTTTTGGACACCCAGAGCTCCTATGGCAAGGACCTCCAGTGTGTCAAGAGCATCTTCGGCGACATCGAGCCGCCGATGATTGCGGCGGAGGTCTATGCTGCAGCAAAGAAGGCCAACGTGGTGCTCGCCTGTATTCAGGCGCTCGGCCGCCCACTCAAAGAAAAGGAATCCCGAGCTGCACTGGCACGCCGTGCCAGGCTCATGGCCTTTACGAAGGAAGTAACCCTCCCTGCCAATTTGGACATGCTTTTGAACAAAACAGCCGGGGAGGGGAGCGGTACCAGCGGTGCTGTCTCCGTAAGCGATGGGCGCCGTCCCGCTTCCTCTGCCTAAGCCTCAAAGAGGCCCAAGCTCGTGCTGGCTAGGCTTTTTGCGCTGCTGTTGAGGGTCGCAGCTCCCTCGGCTCCCTCTACTCTGACTCTAACACTATCTAAGTCTATCTATACTTTACTATACTGTATCTGTATACTGTACTGTATACTGATATACTGTATACTGTGAGTATACGCATAATAACCGTATATACTATATACTATATATTGTATACTATACTATACTATACTATAAATCTATAAATACTTTACTATACTGTACTTTTTTTATATACTGTATACTGCTACTGAGTAATGAGATTCCTCTTAGTGCAGTCTCTTGGCATAGAAATCAGGCCAGTTTTCGCCAGAGAAGGGTTGCGGGAAGATTTCGGCCTCTTAGATCAGATCCGGTAGCTGCCGTTGCATCCAGCGCTTCAGGGGGTGAGAAAGATGAAAAGGAAGGTTTTTGGCATGCCCTGCAACCTTCACTGAAGCGGCGGCTTGTAGCTTGGTGACGAGTGCTTCATCAAAAATCCTGTGAGCCCAGGTCGACCTCTGCGGCCACGTGAGAGAGCACTCTTGGCTTGGGATCACCGGCTGGCGCTTAAAGTCTTCAAGCCCTTAATCTTAAGCCGTAGGCAATAGATTCAGTAGACTCTTGGTCTCTTCTTAGGTCTTAGGCCTTAGGCTTAGTCTTTGACTTAGCCCGTCAGGTCCCAACTCTTTGAACCCGCTAGAAAGAGTCGAAATCCCAGCCATAGCCGCAACAGTCCGAAACCTTCCCCATAACCGTACTTCCTGTCAGTGCCGGTATGTCGGATGCTTGAAGCAGGTGTCTAAACATCAACCCTAAACTAAATCCTACGGCCTAGCAGCACTTGAAACCTGAACTGAAACCTCAACTTCAGCGCACTCCTTGGTGCACCCAGAGCCCGTTCGTTTCATTGCGCTGGCGATGCATCACTCTGAGACAGCTAGGCTAAAATGGGTTCGCAGCGTTGCTTGAAGTACCTGGTCTCAAGGGTTCGCGTTTGTGTTTCCGGTTTTAAGGTGTTGGTCGACAATGCGGGTTGGGTTGAGTTCTGAGTTTGGATAGGAACATCAGTGACATCAAATTTGATTCATGGTTGACTCGGGTGCGAGTGTTGTGTAATGCGGTTAGGGCCAGGGTCGTGGGAGTAATGTCTGAGTAGAGTCTAGATTCTGGATTCTAGATGTATCGATGCTTCCTCGACGTAGGGGGCATTGCCGTTACGGCATGGGGATATGGTTAATGGGGACTTTCGATGTGGACACCTGGGCACCTGGGCTTGTTATAGGCTGTTTTACTGGGCTGTTTTGTGCTGACAACTAAGTTGTTGTGATGTACACGTTTCATGTGGATAGCTGGGCCACTCGATACTAACATCCGGACCCTGTTCATGTGGACAACCGGGCCTTTTGATGT